TTTTTTATTTTTGCTTATGCATATGTATCATTTTATTAAAGATAATCTTGCTTGAAATTAAATACCGTTGGATATTAAATATAGGCATGATATGTTTTCATAATATAATATACACCATGCAATGTAACTTTAAAAACCTCTTTTTTAAGAAATCAAGGGATGTTTAGTTCAACTGATCAAAAGAGTTAAATCAATTTATACTGAGATCTTGAATTCAAATTCTTAGATATAGTAATAATAATATCATACAATGGGGGTTTAGATTAGTCTAGTAAGAAATGATAAACTGGTAATATACTTCTAGATTTCCTAGAATTTTGGGCCATGAAAAAAAAAACTTCTCTGCTATCAATATATTATTAAAAATGAAATTAATCTATTTTAGAATTTTGTCCCTCTTCAAATTGAAATTAATCTAGTTTAAAATTTCAGATATATTCAGGATCAACTATATGTAGTACAATTGACGAGAGATTAATAACATTAAATATAAAACTGTATATCCTGTAGATATAGAGCCACGTTCCTTGGCATTACATAAACATACGAGAATAAAAAAAAAAAAAGTTGGAACATAGAAATCTTTTTTCTTAGAACTTCCCAACGCCATTTTGTCTGCCCAGTAAAACAAGTCTTGATCAGTACTAAGTTCTTTAGAGTGATCTTAAGCCAAATGACTTATTAGCTGTTACTATTACCACATACGGTGTGTGCGTGGAAAGAAGAAAATAACCACACTACATAGTTCCCTAAACCTAATTAATAACCTAACTTTGATATATATGGTGGCTGATTAACCTGGCGCAATTCACGAAAATCTGCAATAATAAATTATACTTATAACGACCCTTGAAAGATACTATTCCATACCATTAATTTAGTCTTATAAACACTGGCCTATTGCATCCATCAAATTATATGCTCAAAACATATGATTAAATTACATGAGCACGAAGTTCCAATCCTAATTGAATAGAAATTAAACTTAATGATAATAAATTTCATGCATGTGTGTGTGAACAGTGGACCTTTGAAAACCGGCAAAAGATAAATTATATATGATTGATTATAATTAAATTAATAATTAAAGGCGTAATCTGAGCCAAGATTCTTTGGTTCTGTGCAAGTGTTGTTAAAAATAAACGTACGTGTCAACTCTCCCACATGCACAAAAGATGACAAACACCAACGTTTTACGTAGAACTTTCGTACACAATTCTCCATTCGCTATTTTCTCTCATCTCTAATTCCGATAAGCCAATGGCATTCTTTAATCCTTCGAATATTTGTCTTCATGTAAATCCCTCACATATTTAAATGTGGTCATCACTCAAATCCATAATAGTCAAATTAGATTTGGGTGTCATGCATTTAGCCCTACCATAATCCTTGAAAAATGATTCCTCTCTGGGGACTCGATCATCAGCCATGCCAAGATTTATAATCAACATAATACATTAAATTAAATTATATAATCTCGTTTATGATTTCACGAATGGTTCAATTCTTTTATACTCCCTCCATCACAAATTATAAAATCTTTTTAGATAAAATTTTATGTACTAATAAATAATAAACATCATTAAATACGCTAAATACTCTTATTTTTTTAAAATAAAAATATAAAATTTTTATATATTAGAAAGAGAAATAATGAAAATTAATTATAGAGAGATAAAAAGGTAGCATTGAAATAACTCTATTTAATGAAATATTAATCTTCTCAAAATGCATTGTATTTTGGGACATCGAATCTCACTTAAAAATGTTGCATAATTTGAGATGAAGGGAGTATTATATATGCTATATGACAGCAGAAAGTAAATGCTTGTACAATAGGGAAAACGATACCCTCAAAATGAGACAGTGCGAGGGAATATCAAATATAAGAGACAACAATAACAAGACTGTTTTTGTTATTTTACCCCGCGCGCGCGTATTGCTTTTACTTTTTTTTGACTTCTATATATCTTTTCACACATTTTAACCATGCCGTCCAGTTGTTACTTTTCTGGTTTGGAAGTAATAACCACGAAAATTCCTTATATACTTATATACACACATTATTAAGAAGGATAAAAGTGTAAATTGATTCTTGAACTATAGGTTTGGAAACATGTAAAATTTAAAACTTATTTTTGGTATAATATATTTTTTCAAATTTTGAGGATTTAATGATAAAATATTTTTTTAACTTTTAAAAATAGTGTTATCTGACTTCTATCATTGACAAAAATAAACATTCAATGATCATAAACTAACAGAAAAAGACCTTAAAAATTACAAAAAAAAGTAGAAGTAAAAATAATATATTGAAGTATTTATGTATTGATCCCATAATAAACTAATTAGTTAGTTTATGCATTTCCGTTAAGAGGACCTATTTTGATTTTGTCATGCAATATATGGACCGATTGTTTAAGAATTACCCCCTCTATTTTTATTTACAAGAGAAACTATTATTTTTGAATTGTTTTTTATATAAGAAAAATTACATTTTTCAATAAGCATTTATTACAAACTTCTTAAATTACCCTTTATAATTTATCATTCATAGTCATAAGAAAAAATTAATGAAGGTTTGATTAACACAATTAATGAAGGGTATTTTAATCTAATTTTTTTAATTTTCAAACATAATTAATATAATTAATTAATTTTTTTAAGCTGTGTGATATGATTTTTTTCTCCTACGAATAAAAATGGAGGGAGTACTTAATAGTTAGTCCAATTAAATTTAATTCCAAATGATCTCTCTCTCTCTCTCTCTCTCTCTCTCTCTCTCTCTCTCTCTCTCTCTCTCTCTCTCTCTCTCTCTCTCTCTCTCTCTCAGTTTTATATTTCAGCTCAGTCAAAGTGGAAGGACAGGATATATATTTAGGCCATGCCAACTGATGTGATTGAAATTTCTCACGTCAAATTCTCTTATTTACTTAAATTTATATTGTTCATATGTCATATATGCCTACCTATTTACCAATAAAGTATTCTTTTTGTCTATTATTTTACATTACTAGTTTAAATAAACATATATTAGAGACCGGAAGTATCACAACAGGATTATACATAATATATTCTTCCATGCATGAATAATAAAAAAAAACGTGGTAGGTGACTGCCAGAAATATAGTCAAACAAATGAACATGAAAATTAATTAATTTCTATCGCAATCGATCTTTGCTGGCTACTTGATCCTAATTTGTTCTCTCTTAATTTTTAATATTCTTTAATTGCCATCAGCTGAATGTTTGTGATAAAGTTTGAGTTCCAATAGTTTCGAGTCCACAATTACATAATAATAATAATAATAATAATAATAATAGTACTGTACTAATATTTCTTGGAAGCGCACAAACATTTTTCAAGTCCGATTTTGTTTGTGTACGAGAAATCGGACAAACACTATGCTTCTTTAATTAGCCGTATCATTACCGATGTATCAATAATGTTTCTTCATGTTTTAAACAAAACATACTGACACGAATTTTTCGAGGTTAATTAGGTGATTATCATCTGTTTAGGGATGTGGAGCTCAGTATTCGCTGACCTAGCTGGTGAATATACAAATTCTTTTGTTTTCCCGAAGAAAATAGATCGGAAAATTAAAAATTAAAGGGTTAATTTATTCGTAGAAGACAGATTACGATATTTAAAGATAACATTATCAAAATGTTAATATGGCTTGGTGTTTTTGCCACATCATTCATTTCAAAAGGACAAATAAACCCAATATTATATGTGCAATACATACATACATGCATACATTTAGCTAATTAAAAGCCATAAATTATATATTTCACATACATCAATACAATAGAAGAATAGGAAAGAGTAATGAAATCTTACTTATATCATATATCTCATTAATACTTAAGAGTGAGAAGAATTCGACGTTTTAGAATTTTAGTTTGAACTCCCTTCCAATGTTATTTAAATAAAATAAAAGGCACTTAATTTAATTAGGTCCGAGTAAGGGACAAATTAAACCCCAAAGTATTCTGTATCTTGGTCATTAGTCAATTTATGCTTGCATGCATATATATATATATATGCATGCATGCATGCATGTATATTAACCAATGCACAGAGATATGTATGTGTAGCTAATTAGGGTCTATTAGCTAATATATGAGATTAATTAAAACAAATGGGGGCTGTCAGTAACAGCGGTCAACTAAATAGAGATTATCATGGAGTTATATAGACATGACAACCTGTCAAAAAAATAATTATAAAGAGAGAGAAAGGTTAATCTAGTCACATGATTTTCAATACTCCAATATAGAGGTCATATTGATGTGCATGTGTATTTGATCTCATATATTGTATTTTTTTGCTACAAATCATATAATTTTATTTTGTTACTGAATGATCATCGAGAGGGTGAGATACTATAGTACTATACTTGGCTCTTGTATACTATCAAAGCAATAAATAAAAACAAGTGGTATGTCCGACTGTTGATCCCCTACATCTACTGGAAAATATTTTAATATATATATATATATATATATTGATAACGTAAGCGTGTGTATATACTAAAGTGTAAGAATATTTGATGAGCGGTGACTGATGATATTTTCAATTTTTTGAAGCTTAATTATTTTTCAAAACGTTATTATTCCAGTCAAAAACTAGCTACCCTCAACTTGTTAATAATGCACCTAGAATAATTATTTGTCCATGTACAGAGTAATTAACTAAATCTCTCTTTCTCTCCGTCTATCTCTCTTTCTGTGCAAGTAGGGTTTTTCTTCATTCCATCAAAGTGATGATCTCTGATTGGCCTCATCATGGTGATATCAGTGAAGAAGATAATTAATTAGTGGATCTCCACTCAATATTGTGTTTAGATCTTGTTATCGATTGAGCAGGTTTCAGTTGATGAATCAGTTATTTGATAATCATCTCTTGGAAAACCTTCCTCTTCAATAATATGTTTCTCTCAATTTCTCTTGCAGTTGATCAACAATAATATTGCTTTTGTTCTTGTATGTTATCACTGGTTGAGAATCGATCAAAACATATCATCACAAATTTCGAATTGAACAAGCACTACATATATATGCTGATCTTTTATTTATATACATATCATTCTGAAGCAAAATTTGTTCATGCTTCTTATAAAATTCTTCAACCTTTATTGATTTTGTTCTTGCAGGGTAGGGTTTGTTTTGGTCATTCATCATTTTCTCTATATTTGCATATATATATACATATATTTATGTATATATTTTCAAATTTCTTCTAGGATATAGGAGAGTTCTCAAGGCCTAGGAAAAATAAATTTATGGTACAAAATCAGTACAATCATCATTTACTTAAGCCTGGTCTTCCCATATATAGCTTGCTGATCTTCGCTTCACCATCTATATATATAACAGGTTATCATCATCATCATCAGATTGCTTTAATTCGTTACCAAACATGGCTGAGAGGGAGAGAATTTGCATATCAGACGAAAACCAGAGCGAAGAAAGTAACAGCAACAACATCATCATCAGAGAGAAACCCCCTTGTTCGTTTTCTACTTCTCTGTGTATTCAAAAGAGTTCGTTGTTTAATCTGAACGAAGAAGCTGTGGACGATCTTGGTGGTGGAGGATCGTCCTCGTCCTCGTCATCAGGAGAAGGTAATGTGAGTAGCAGCAACAAGTCATCAAGTTCAGAAGTGAAAGAGAGAACAAATAGTGTGAGGCAATATGTGAGATCCAAAATGCCAAGGCTTCGTTGGACTCCTGATCTCCATCTTGCCTTTGTTCGTGCTGTTGAAAGGCTTGGTGGACAGGAAAGTAAGTGAAATCAAATCTCGAGTTTCTTCATTATATGACTGTGCTTTTGTGTGGTTTTCTCTTGAACTCAATCTTATCTCAAGGCAATTTTAAGACTCTATTGATCATCAAGATAATTAAGAGAAGCAGTTTCTGGTTTAATTTGAATCTCAAACTTGTCATCAATTCGGTTTAGTTAATGAAGTACTGATATGTGACTAATAATTAAAAAGCATAATTTACTATAAATAATTTATTTTAATAACCTTGTTCTTGTTCATTTGTGAATGAATCGGTTCAGAAGCAACGCCCAAGTTAGTTTTACAGTTGATGAATGTGAGAGGGCTTAGCATTGCTCATGTAAAGAGCCATTTACAGATGTATCGAAGCAAGAAACTTGACGAGTCTGGCCAAGGTAAACGTTCTGTAGTACAATTATTTATATTACCAAATTAAACATTTTCTGCAGAACACTGAGAGATGCATGAAATTTCAAAGGCTTCTATATATGTGTGTGTGTGTGTGTGTGTGTGTAGCATGGTTTAATGGATTTTATTTCAGTTTTATCCCAAAATAGGGCAACATTGCAAGGACGAAGAGATCGCATTTTGGATGTGTACGAGAGATTTAGGGCTCGAGGAGGACACCTTGGGATTGATAACTATCTCCCAACATTACCTCTCGTTATGAAGCCGACATTCGACTTTAAATCTCATGGCTCTTCAAGGTATCATGTTGGAAATCTCAAGCACACATAGCCACTACTGCGAAGTGAAAAATTTTAGATATATGAAGTTTTATGGTCCATCAAACACGTGTATTTTGAAATTTGATCCCCAAAAAAAAAAAATTTATCCACATCCAGTGAAGGTTATTAAGTTATTTGCTGGTGTAATATAATTGACCGATTGCTTGTGTTATTTATTTTATCTTTAATGATTCCAGACAAGGACAACTCTGGATCGCAGATAATTGCACTTGGATATCTTCAATGATATCCATCACAATATAAGAAAAATATTATTGTTAAGACCTAAAATTAAAAATGTTAGCCTAAACAGGAGATAGTAATACTCTCAAGTTTTCTAGGACACTAGGTAAAAAAATAAAAAAATTAGAAAATTATATTTTCAAGTGTAATTAGAGGAAAAAATTATGGATTTTTAAAAAGAACTAAAACGATTTATTCAAAACTGAGATCACTTGATTTTTGGTTTGTTTGTTTTGTAGATTCGAAGCAGGTGAGACAAGACCAAGTTCATGGGTAGGGTGGAGCAACGCGTTAGGGTTGTGTGAGGTTGGCAGAGACAGAAGGATGATTCAGAGGAAGAAGATTGGAGGGTGTGGTAACCTATTATTTGAGGTTAACGATGCTAATAATATTAGAATAAGAAATGGACCTCTTACTCTTAGGCCAAACCCATTCCTCGAAGACAAGAAATGGCCTCCTCGTGAAACACCTGACAAACCTTATTGGGATGACAAACGTTGTCCATGGAGCCCCACTAAATGCTTTTTTATCAAAGCTAATCTTCATCATGAACCTATTTCCTTCACCCACCTCGACTTTGATGCTCAGGTAACCAATACTAGTACCTTTTCTTCATTCTCTTCTGTCTACATTATAAAGTACTTCGAGTCATATTTTACATGTCAATAAAAATAGTTCTTTTTCATTACTTTTAAAAATAACCCGTCTTTTTTCTTTTTTTGCTTAACCCTTTTTATCATTAATTCATACAAGGATAAATTTAAAAAAATACCAAGCGTACTGTCCTGCATTTTGGATCAAATTTACTAGAAAAATTAAATGAATTTAAATTTGGATCGGATCACAGGTACACTACTCAATTATATTTCTTACAACCCTACTCGCACTGAGTTCTGCCGGTACAGTTGTAATAATACTCCTTCCATTTTAATCAAATACAAGATATTTTTACTTCATGCACACCTACGTATAGGAGGTAGTTAAGATTTTAATTTCTTTCAACTTTTTCCTTTTTTAAAAGGCATGAGGAGCGGACTATGTATCAATGAAAAGTAAGTTTTAATTTCTTAGCTATTGGTTAAATTTTGTTATATCCTTAAAATACTATGTATCAATGAAAAGTAAGTTTTCTTAGCTATAGGTTAAATTTGGTTATATCCTTAAAATTCCTTTAATTTTTAATTCAACCGTTAAACTTCTGTTAGTAGTCTATATAACCAGTAATGGGTTGAAGTTATTGAACTTGTGAGCTGTATAATATAAATGAGCTGAGAACGTGGTTCTTTTGGGAATGCAGGTTCATCATGACGTTCAAAAAGATGTGACGCCATGTTTCAGAAATCAGAATCACTTATCAGAAACAGGTGAAGTTAAAGGCCAATTAGAGAGCTTGAAGGAGAGGAAAGAAGCACCCAGTTTGCTTAAGCCATGTTTAGCCCAAGATTCTGCAATTAATGTTGCAGAAGTGAACAATCCTGATCTTCCAGGTAATGATGGAGCAATCAATACGATGTTGTCTCTTTCATTGTAACAATATAAATCTGCTTTAATCATAAGTTCAGAATAAAGGGCTCATGTGTACGAGAGACAGAGAGGGTGAGTACTTAAGAACCTGACTCTGATGGATCAAAAATTATAGACAGCAGAATATAGGGGTGAGATCTTTCTAAGCACTTTCCTTGGAAGGCCATATATGTAATTTCATGGATGGATATTATTATTAACTACCGAGGAGTTCGAACCAGACAATTTAATTTATTTTAAGATTAAAATGTATTTTTATTCTTGAACTATTTTCTGAAAAACACCTAATGTCAAAGTAATTAAAATTTAATATATTTTCCTTTGACATTAAATACGCTAATGTTAACCAATGAAAATGTTAATTATGAATTAAGTTTGACTAAAAAATGTTATACATTATGTCAGATGCATCAAGTTAAGGTATATTTTTATTCTTAAACTATAGTCAAAATTACATTAATCCACATCTATGTGTGTGCATTCTACAAGTTGAATTGACAAAGATCATGACCAAACATATGAGATAAAACAAATCGCCTCACTTTCAAATAATGTTCGCTTATATATTGTCTTGAATTTCATATAGTAGTCATCAATGTGCTGGGAATGCAGGTAGAACTATCTCCTTGTGCTTTACAAGTACATAAACAAGTCACAAGTACAAATCATGACCAAATACACACACACATGCATAAACCTTCCAATTTCTATAATAGTAAATTAAAAATCCTTCTAATATAAGAAGATAATAAGTTACGCAAGATTTTAAGATCTTAAAGATGATCGTTGACAAGAGGGTTCCTATCACCAGGACAATGATTCCAAGAAGCCGCCATTGCCTTGGAAATTAAGATATAGTACATTTATCGTTCGGATGAGTGTTAACCACCTCAAACTCGGCCGCCGACGCTGCCACGTCTGGTTGAATCTTTTCTGTCTGACCATCTTTCGGGTGAACAGAAGCACAAGCAAACGAAACCAGTCTTGCAATCAGCAAAAAACCGAATAGCACTATAAGAATCAACATTATGCCACCACCGTAGTTGAAAATAGAAAACCCCATATTCACTTATGACCCACCAGACATAGATTTAGGAGAAACTACCTCCATTTTAAATTATAAAATTCTATTAAAAAAGATTTAGCATCCTAAAATATAAAACTTTAATAAAAATAAGATTTCATTAGTAATACTTTTTCAATATTACCCTTCTCATATATTCTCACCTTGTTCTTTCATTAATAGAGTATTAAATTACAAGTATTTTTAAAAGTTTATATTTTTATCTTGAAAAAGTAAGATTATAAAATGTATTTAATGAGTTTTATTAATATGTAAAGTTTTATCTAAAAGTATTTTATAATTTAAGAGGAAAGGAGTACTCTATCTATATATATATATATATATATAGCAGTGATTGGTGGTCCATATTTACTACTTTTGGTCAAAAAATAAAAGAAAAGATATCATGGATTTTACCTTATTTTTCTGGATCAGTTGGGGCAATCATTGGTACTGATTGCGTGTACAGTTATACGTCTTCAAGTTTAATTTAAAGCATTAATTCAGATTACTTAGATATGGATATTCCTTCTCTAGATTGGTCCCATCATGATTCACCGCATTCCGTCTATGGACAGAAATTTTTCACATATATTCTAAGCAAAAACAGGAAACAAAAAATAAAATAAAATGATGGGCAAATTAATTAAAGTAGATGCATCGCTGCAGATTCTTGTTATTTTTTAGAACGGGAAACTCTAATTTTGTTTGGTTATAGAGAAACTCTAATATTATAATTATTCATGGATCTCAATAGATTTTCAAAATATCTACGCACTTTAATTCCTTCTTATATGTTCATAACTTCATCCACAGCAAAATGCAAAAAGCAAAAAGCAAAAAACGCAGTAGCAAATTCACTAGGCAATATCTATATACATGCATCAAGTACAACAACTTTCAAGCCAAAAAAAAGCATACCAATATTGAGATCGATCAGATGCCATAAAATTCTCAACCACCGCCACATCCACCACCTCCAACACTTTTATGACCATTCAATTTCCATCCCGCAGTTTCCTTAGTCTTTGAAAGAAGACGTTATATAACGGTGATATTCACTATATATCTTGGTATAATTACAGTTAGATCCCAAAGAAATGAATTAATGACAATTAAATATTCAATAAAAATTTTACAAAATAAATTATAAATATCAATTTAAATAGTTATAAACAGAAATTTCTATTACAATCTAAAATTATATTTGGTATTTAAATATTTATTTACAATTGAAACTACTAAATTTTTAATAATTTGAATTAATATTTTTAACTTATTTTTTAAAAAATCTAGCAGTTAACTGATATTAATTCAATGTTTTGAAATTTTAACTGTTATTTTCTCATGCATTTTTATAGCTTACTACTATTCAATTAATTAATAACATTGATTGATCACAAAGCCTGGAATTTAAAACATTTAAATTACATTAATTTTATATCCGTGTTGACTTGGTCCCAGGGTGGTCACTCAGCATTTATCCCTTAAAAGGCAAAGTCAATTATTCAATAAATAAAATATAATCATCGTCACTTCTTTTAGTAAAATCCGTCTGGTTAAGTTGTAGATATACAATTGATTCAACGTTAACAATCATCAAAATATTTAAGTGAGTTTCGCGGAAGCTCATGTGGGGCCCTCTATGAATTCCTTTCCATGTCCAGCTCCATTTCACTTCTCATCTCCATCGTTAAAATTAAATATAAACGATTCGGATTTAATATTTTACAAAATATCTATATATGCACCACCGGGTACAACAACATAAAAGTATTAATTAAATTTTAATTTCATGCTCGAAGCGTCGGCAACCAATAATAAAAGCAAATTAAGTGTAGGCGATTTGTAAAGGATTTTCAAAGCCGTACGCGATCTTTCTCTCTCTCTAATTTTGTCATATTCATTTTTAATTTTAGGAAATAGGAAGTAGGAACGGAGGAAGTGCGCGTATAGTATGTAGTATGTACCATTGTCGTCATAAGCCGTTTGGTTAATATATCACCAAAAAATGATAACGATGACATGGAGTAAAATGTAATTAATTATATAATAGCTCGATCTTAATATAATATATTGATAATTAATTTACAATTTAAAAAAAATGTTATTTGAAACTACATCTTCAACCTATTTCGCTTATTGAGGAAATTCGTCAGATTTGGAGTAGGGACTAGACTATCTCTATTCAACATGTTCGTAGAGAAGGAAATAAAGTGGCTGATTTTTTAGCCAAACTGGCTCTTCAACGTTGGCCAGATGTTATTAGTTTTCGTACTTTGTTTTCTGACTTAGAAGCTCTTATCATAGCTAATTGTAATAGCCCACCTCAGATCTAGTCTGAGAATGCCTTTTGATATAAAAAAAAACATACTTTCAATTATATCCTCATTAAATATTATATATATAAGTACTTTATAATAATAACAATTAAAATTTTAATACATTATTTTTTTCAAAAAAAATAAATGAAGCAGAAATAAAATTATAAAAATAATTATAAAAATTACTCAATATCGTATTTATTAGACCAAGCATAGCTTTTAAAATATATCTTGTATTATGATTTAGAAAGAGTAATATTGATTATTACCTATCAATCAATCATCAACTATATCGTACAAATCCCGTGGATTCCTAAACTGATTGGCCAGTTTTCATTCTCTCTGATTGGTGGATACACTTTGGGTGAAAATTAATTTTCCTCTCTCATTGGTTGGGTGATTATGGTTCAAGATTAATTATATCTTTCTATTGGTTCATTCCTAGAGTATTATTCGATATTAAGCACTCTAGCGTCTCCCTTGTAACACCCTAAAGATCTAAGATAAATGTTGACAATAATCTTACAAGAACAAAATCTTTCCATCTTATTTTCACAAATATTTTCTTAAAATCTGTCAAATAACAAAAGCGAGACCCCCAAAAATAATCATCACGGGACTTAGGGCATTTGAAGTCCAACAAACAGTCCACAATAAACCCAACAGTCCAACAACAAAGAAATTCAAATCGTATTCCAATTTAAATTGAATAAATACAATCAAATGGATTAGGCTCAACCCACAAAAATCTACAGTTCAACAAGCCTTTTCAAATGCAAAGTTTCATAATATTTTCTCAAAAGTGTCACCCCAAAAGAAACTGTAATTAAACAATCAATTACTCAAATTTTTTCAATTCTTAAAAAAAATCACAATCCTATAGGTCATGCCAACAAAATAATAAAACAACAACTACATGTGCCAACCCAAATGGAACAAGAAGCCTAACCCCACAGTTTCAATGCCTTCTTCATAACTCTACTAGATAGCTTAATTAAAAATGATAAAAAAATAACATGTGAGATTTAACGTTTCAATAACAATTGAATATTCTAAACAACCCTAGCATATCAATTGAAAATCAGTTCACAAACCATATTTAAACATACATACTTTTTTTCAACACTTCACAAACCAATGGTCAAATAAGGGAACGCTAGTTTTTTATAATCAAAACAATTAAATCAAGTAATACTTATCTTGATCACACTCTTGTATCCCACCCTTTGCACCTTATCACCACTAGCTAAAGTCTAAATTGCGCACACATCGAGCTAAAGGTGCATTGCTAACAGAGTTATAAAATATCCAAGAAAAATTTAACAATTTAAATTTATTTATTTATTTTTTAATGTAATATTATGATAATTATTTTATAAAATAATTAAATCTAAATCATTCATTTTTCATCCAAGAGTAGGGATAGGTTGAGGAGAAGAAAAGAAGAGAGTGGGATGAGGAGAGGACGTGCTTCCAGCTAATATCACACTGCACCGTGATTACATGAACCAACAAAAACAGGAAACAAAAAATAAAATAAAATGATGATCAAATTAATTGAAGTAGAAGCGCGGTTGCAGATTCTTCTTATTTGTTTAGAACGAGAAACTCTATGTTGTTTGGTCATAGAAACTCTAATTATATTCTTCATACATGTCAATATGAGTTTCAAAATATATACGCGCTTTAAGGCCTACTTATTTGCATAACTTCATTCACAACAAAAAGCAAAAACACAGTAGCAAATTCAATAGGCAATATCTATCTGTATGTGTATCAAGTACAACAATTTTCAAGCTAAAAACAAAAAAGGTACACCAATATTGAGATCGATCAGACACCATAAAATTCTCAAGCACCGCAACCCCCACCACATCCACCACCACCACAGCCTCCGCCGCTTCCACATCCACCTCCTCCGTCTTTCTTTTTGGAGGAGTCTTGACCGGCACCATCGGCACAAGCAAGCAAAAGCGTTGTTATAGCCATCAAGGAAGTGAACATCATGAGAAGCAAGAATATGAGACCCGAGCTCTGAACATGGATACGCATATCAGCATCTTCATGTCCCATAACCATTTCTCTAGCCATCTCCTCCAACACTTCTATGACCATTCAATTTCTATCCTGCTTCCGTAGTCTTTGAAAGCAGTCGTTTTATAGGGGTGATATTCACTATATATTTTTATAGCTCAATACTATTCAATTAATTAATGGCATTGATTGATTACAAAGCCTGGAATTTAAAACATTTAAATTACGTTGATTTTATACGGGCGTTGACTAGGTCCCAGGTTGGTGACTCAGCATTTATCTCTTGAACGGTAACGTCAATTATTCAATAAATAAAATACGATCATCATCACTTCTTTTAGTAAAATCCATCGTCAAAATATTTAAGTGGGTTTGATGGAAGCTCATGTGAGGCCCTATTTGGGATTTTGGTTTTTTTTTTTTTTTTTGTGGGCGTTTGAACCTTGAGGCCTTGAAAGTTGTCATGTTTATGGGTTGTGTTGTGAGTGTGGCATTGGAGTCCTTCCCAAAAAGGGACTCATTCTCTCTCTACATAGTCCATACCCAGGACCATTCTACTATCTTCATATTAAATTATAAAATTTTTTTTTAAAAAAATTTCATTTCAAAATATAAAATATTTTAAGTAAATTAAGGTTTCATTAAATGCAACAATTTTAATATTATCCTTTCTTTTTTTATAATTAATTTTTATCTTTTCTTTTTTCAATATATTAAATGATGGGTTATTTTATAAATTTATATTTTTAGTTTAGAAAGATAAAGTTGTTAAGTGTATTTAACGAAATTTATTGATATATAAAATTTTATTTAAAAGTGTTTTATAATTTGAGACAAACAGAGCATTTCTCATCTCCATTATTAAATTAAATTTTAAACGATTCAGATTTAATATTTTACAAAATATCTAAAAATATTAATTAAATTTTCATACTCGGAAGCATCCGCAACTTATAACCAGGACAAATTAAAAGAGACTTAACAAATGGATTGAATAGATTGTTGTCAGTTAGTTATAGACAGCAGGTGCAGACTGCTTGAATAGATTGCCAGCAGGCAAAAGCTGTGACCTAATTTCGAAGCTCAAACTCATTATTTGTTATGAGACAATAGGTAACAGTTTTATCCTCTATGGCCATCCATTGCAAAAAAAAAAAAAAAACCAGTGCGATAAATGTTAGGTAACCCTAGTATGTACTATTCCATAGCTCTAAGCAACAATTTTTCACCCTATAACAATAGTTTTTGTCCATTGCCATGGAAAAAAATGTTTATTGTTGTATTACTTCTGTTCAACTCCTAGTTGTCAAAAAAAACAAATGTTGCAATGTTGTATTACTTCTATACTCAACTCCTAGTGCACATGTATGCTGTTACAAATTCTTGTTATTTTTTGGAACGATAAACTCTAATTTTATTTTTTTTATTATTCACAAACATGAAGGAAATTTTGTTCAAGATATGATCAAGTATTAAATGTAGATATTTCTTATATAAAAATTTAAACTTTAATTTATCACGTATCTTTTTTCACTATAAACAAGCCAAATTCAATTGGTGATAAAAAAATATTTTATTAATTGTAAATCTCAATATGATTTTCATAATATCGACAATGCTTGTC